TGTTTCTATAGGGACAAACTTTTACTTATGTAAAAGTGTGGCATCTGATATATGAATATCATATATAGGCTGTAGAAATAGACTTGAGTGGTTAGCAAGTAAAAGTAGCCGAAGCTTGATTTATCCAAGCCAGGCCCCCAACATGTTTCGTCCTGCCCCCTGGTGCATAATCCTGGAGGTACTGTATATGCGGTTTGTTGAAACATAAAATTCTTCTATATAGGAGGTAGTCAAGAAGATCCTTATCTGCATTAACAAGCAGATATCAATTTTAAAAATTAAAAGGTTGCTGACATCAGTAAACAGAAGCAAAGAACACTTTACTCACTTTCTTGCAACGAACAGCAAATTCTCAAGTCAGTACATGTCAACTATGTTTAGCCTCTTTAGAATATTGTGCTGGCTGACAATATAGCTTACACAAAGAATGAAATGTTTACATTTCGTAATGATGGCATAGCTATTTTTTCCCTGGTTCAGATCTTCTTGGCTAGGCATAGCAGAGAGGAAGGTTGGATATGCACAGTAACAAAAATTCAAGCATCTTTATATGGTTCTAGGACACTAGAGGGCAGCCATATTGCATAAAAAAATATTTTCTCTCATATGTTTTTCTCATTTCTTTTACACAATGTGATAGTCCTATGTCATTTTTGAATCCTGTTTTGATTACTTTATAGGTTTCCTTAGCGGTTCAGTGGGGATCCTGGGGTATGCCTCCCACCATCTGCATGTGGGGGACACCTGTCCCCCCCACGGTGCTGGATGACCTCTTGAGACTTTCTCATCCTGCCTAACATAGTTTGCCACATGTGAGCACTTTGGAGCTATATCTATCTTCATGCAGCTTGTTTGTATGTATTGGGTTCTACCCCTCAATGTAATTTTGTTACATATACACTATATTGCCAAAAGTATTGGGACTCCCCTCCAAATAATTGGATTTAAGTGTTCTGATCATCTCCATGGCAACAGGTGTATAAAATCAAGCATCTAAGCAAACTGCTTCTACAAACATTTTTGAAAGAATGGGTTGCTCTCAGGAGCTCAGTAATTTTAAGCGTGGTACCGTGATAGATTGTAACCTGTGATATAAGTCCATCAGTGAAATTTCCTTGCTACTAAATATTTAACTGATAGTGGTATTATAACAAAGCGGAACTGGGAACAAAATCAACTTGGCCACAAAAGTGGTAGGCCACAAAAAATGACGTAAAATGAGCAGGGTCAGAAATTGTCAACTGTCTGCAGAGTCAATAGCTAAAGAACTTCAACTTTGTATGCTCTTCGGATTAGCACAACAGCAGTGCATAGACAGCTTCAAGGAATGGATTTCCATGGCAGAGCAGCTGTATCCAAGCCTTACATCACCAATTGCAATGCAAAGGGTCGGATGCAGTGGTGTAAAGCACGCCGCCACTGGACTCTAGAGCAGTGGAGACATGTTCTCTGGAGTGAGGAATCACACTTCTCTGGAGTGAGGAATCACATTTCTCTGTCCGGCAATCTGATGGACATGTCTGGGTTTGGCGGTTGCCAGGAGAACAGTACTTGCCTGACTGCATTGTGCCAAGTGGGGGCATTATGGTGTGGGGTTGTTTTCAGGGGTTGGGCTTGGCCCTTTAGTTCCAGTGAAGGGAACTCTTAAGCTGTCAGCATACCAAGACATTTTGGACAATTTCATGCTCCCAACTTTGTGGGAACAGTTTGGGGATGGCCTCTTCCTGTTCCAACAGGACTGTGCACCAGTGCACAAAGCAAGGTCTAAAGACATGAATGAATGAGTCTGGAGTGGAGGAACTTGACTGGCCTGCACAGAATTCTGACCTCAACTCGAGAGAACACCTTTGGGATGAATTAGAGCGGAGATTGCGAGCCAGGCCTTCTCGTCCTACATCAGTGCCTGATCTCACAAATGAGTTTCTGGGAGAATGGTCAAACATTCCCATAGACACACTCCTAGTCCTTGTGGACAGGCTTCCCAGAAGAGTTGAAGCTGTTATAGTTGCAAAGGGTGGGCCAACTCAATATTAAACCCTACGGACCAAGACTGGGATGCCATTAACCACTTCTCATCCGGCCTATGTAGATAAATAGACGGAAGCGCTGCTGAAGCAGGTGAACGTTTCTAAATGTCCCCCCGCCTCCATTGCCTGTGTGCGCTGCTCCCAATTCATGTGATCACTGGTTGGCCAATCAGTGATCACATGAATAGTAGTAAACAAGAAATCTGTGAATGATCACAAAGGTTGCATGGTAAAAGCTAGTCACAACAGCCTTGTACCATGTGACAAGCTATGACCAATCACAGCTCGCACAGTATTTCTCAATGACTGCATGAATGCAGCCAGAGAGAAGGAGAAATGATTGATTTTACAGCCTTTATGGGTGTAAAAGCAATCAGTGTAAAAAAAAAAAAAAAAATCTTCATCACCCCTCACAAGTAGTACAGTGTCACTATGGTGACACTGTACTGCTAGGGTGACAGTATGTTACCAAAGCAAAAAAAATAAAAAAAATAAAAATGTAAAAAAAATGTTTTGAACAATTATAATTTTTGGTTATAAACTAATTTGGGTTATTTCTTTTTTTTACTAAAAAGATAGATGAATACATTTTGGCCAAGATTTAAGGAAAAAAAGATTATTTATTTGCAAAATTTTATAAGAAAAACACTTTTTTCAAAATTTGCGGACTTTTTAATTTATATAGCAAAAAAAAAAAAATAAATAAATAAAAATCCCAGTTGTGAATAAATACCACCAAAATAAAGTTTTATCTGTCTCAAAAAAATGCTAAAAAAATCATATGGCTACAGGGTTGTATGACCGCGAAATTGTCAAAGTGTGACAGCAATGAAAGCTGAAAATTGGCCTGGACTGGAAGGGGATGAAAGCGTCTGGACTTAAAGTGGTTAAAGTTCATGTGCGTGGAAATACAGGCATCCCAATACTTTTGACAATATAGTGAATCTTACTTTATGAATGCTTGTTATATACTGATGGGTTTTTTTTTGTTTGCTCTGTGAAACATGTTGAGGAATTATAGTCAACTTTCAAATGGACTCTATATTCTGCTAAGAGTTAATGCCCTGACAATATCGTGACATACTATCAAATTATAAGATATTGGAGATAATTGCTGCCAAGAAATTTTATTTTGGATACATTTATATACTGCCTTTAAATTTTTTTGTATAAATAAAGTACAATTTGGGAGGTATTCTCCCTGTTATTTTAACTAGATATGTTTTGTGCGTTGGTGTTTTGGGGCACCTATAAAGTCCATGCATTGAACTTTTTTTTGGAATGTCTTGATTTTTAGGATGTGGTGCCTCTCTCCCTTTTTCTTGGCTAGATCTACTCAGTTATTTTTACTGAGGTCTATTTTAGATACAAAGAGTGCTTAATGGAGTTTTTTTTTTTTTAAGCACAAGTCTGTTATCTAAATACAAACTGGAAATGTTCTAATTGTGTATCACATAAAATATATTTACACAGAAAAATAAATCCATAACTATTGTCTGAATTCTTTTACAACTTTGTATTTGTAGTTTGACATTAAAACTCAGTGACACTTAAAGTTGAAATTAAACTCTTTTCAGTTGTTGTCAGTACACTTGCATATACTGATATGCCACACAATATACAAAAAAAAAAAAAAAAATAATGTCACTACAAAAGGGTCATTTTCTTTCCCTGTTCCCACATTCACAGTTCACTAAAAGATTTAGCAAGAAAGTGCACAAACTCTTCAGTTCTAGCAGTTTTTTACTCACTATATTCTATGAAACTATAATTAAATTTAATGGAATACTTCCTGCACAGTAGGTACACTATTTAAAATGGAAACTAAGGCACTCATATTGAACATTTTTTGTAACGTTTCAGTAGCAGTTTTATTTCATATCAAGCCCATTCCATTCTTAAAAGTCAACTCCACACAAAACTAATCCCACGTATAAGCAACATCATTTGCTGCAGCTCTAAGGGACACAAGTATGAGGAAACATCACAAGAACTCTCAATTATCTGCAGGCAATATATAACCAATTATTACTGTTGCCCTATAATTGGGAAATGTGGCTAGAAGAGGGTAAAATAGTCTTGTTGGAAGTGGAGGAGACCCAGTCAGCTGTGGGAAAATCTGACCATTGGAGCCTAGGAAGTTCATCAGTGATTTAACAAAGATATTGATTGTAAGCTGTAACGAGCAGGGCCCTCCATTTCCTCTTGTACCAAATTGTATTGCAACTGTAATGTCTACCTTCATTTTGTAAAGCGCTGCACAAACTGTTGGCGCTATATAAATCCTGTATAATAATAATATTGAGTTTGGCTGGAGTTGTCGTTTACCACTTTACTATTCTCCATTACAACCAAAAACATTTTCATCTGGGTTATTAAAAAGTTACTTACAAAAAGCCCTCTATATCAAAGAGCCACACCTGTCTTCACTAGCCCTTCCATTTGGCTCTATTCTTCAGTTTAACCAAAGTGACAACTTGTTTGATATAAAGAAAAACAGATTAAGGTTAGGAGCAAAAACATGTAGGATGCAGTAAGACTTCACACCATAATACTAAAGATGAAAAATTCACAACTTCAACTTGGTTTATATAAAATGAGCAAAATTACCAAGACATAAAAATATATATATGTAAACATTTCAGAACCATAGCCAGCTTATACATTTTTGTAGGTCTATTCACAAACAAAAAAAAAAAAGGTTTTAGGTATTTTGGCCTTTACTAAACAGTCAAAAAAGTGAGGTTCCTGGGGAAGGGGGGTTCAAGAATTGGTTAAAGAATACAGGCTATGGTATTTAGGGTAGGGGGTTCATTTAGACCCATTATAAGGAATATCATAAAATAGCAATGCTAATAAATATGGCCCACATTGTGCAAAATGTTTTGTAAAAAAAAAAAAAAAAAATTGTCCATATTGGTATTTTTTGCACTATATAAGAGCAAGCCTTGTTTGGGCGACAGTTCATTTTAATTAGAAGATTTCTTCATCAGTCTCAGAGTCATCGCTTGTTTTGGTTAGTTTTTCAAGTTCTTGGCCATCCTACAGAAAACAGAATAAACTGAAATTAGGAAAGATTATTTGGAATTGACAAAAGGTAAGAATTAAGACAGACTTTAAAGCGGTAGTAAAGTCTCATTATGAGACGGAGAAACACGTGCCCCCCTGCAGGTTTAAGCCATAATGTACCAGTATGCACTGCATACTAGTACATTTTGAGAGACTTACCTACAGACAGAGATGTCCACTGCTGGGCTGTCAAGGCCGTTCCAGGTTCTACATCTTCAACCACTTGAATGGCCAGGCTGCTGTGGCATCACTCCCACACATGTGCATCCACAGCATGCAGAGTGGGTCTTAAATGCGATGTGAGTTGCGCTTGCACATCAAAGAATGCATTACCCACGGACAAGCTGACCTCTAGGGTCTCTTCTGTTATTAAAAACCATAGTGCTTTTTTACCAGATAGGGTTTACTACCACTTTAATGGGCCAGTAAATTGAAATTACTTAATTTATATAAAACAACAAATGATAAAATCCATTGTTGAACTTTAAATCTATTCAAAAATATTATTGTTCACTCTTGGATAGATTGGGAAATGGCATTTTTGTTTGGTTTTTATTGCCCTTTGTGCGCTCACAAGGGATATTTTGCCTTACAGCCCGACAACAGGAAATGAGGGTCGATCACTTCAGCAAGGGAGAACCAGCAATACCACCTAACTTTGGTGCCACAGCATCTGTCAATTCTCTTCCTAGCCTGATAACAGACCTAAACAGCAATGTTGCACTTACACTCAATGTTACTCCTCAGCCAGGACACACTAACACACATTGGATCCAAAAGATCCTCCATCTCCAATATTCAAAGCTGGAGGTGCAGTACAACTGGGTGTTAATGGTCAATGTCAAAAGGATCTGGCCGTTCTAGTAGATTATAGGCTTAAAGCGAAACTTCACTCTCTCAATCAACATGGACTATTTATAATCCTTATGCTGCTATCACTAGTAAATGGATAGGAAAGTATATCATATTTACTTGTTTTAAACTTTTTTTTTTTTATGTTTCTTCAGTTACTTCCTGGTTTCCATGCCTAAGCAAATGATGTCATACATCCCAGCACTGTTCAGGAGGGGGAAGGAGGGTTCTCAGCTCAGCCAATGACTGAACAAAGGGCAGATGGATTCCAATAAGTAAATGCGAAATTACTCATTTGCCCTTATTCAAGATGGCCACTGCCAGATATGCCAGGGTGTGTTTTTCAAAATTATTTCTCAGAGAAATAAAGCATAGAGATATGGATGCTTTGGGGAGTTTGCTTTGAATATTAACAATGAAATAAATAGCATTTTTGGTTTGAGGTGCTCAGATGCAGTGCAGTTCCACTTTAATAACAGCATGAAATGTCAATCAGCAACTTTGATCAAACAGGAATATGCAGGAATGGCAACTAAATCAACAGGAGGCAGGGAGGATGTCAGCTACGAGCAAAGATTGCCTGAAGTAATTCACACCTTAGAATAGCAAACTGGGGGGGGGGGGGGGTTATGCACATAACTTGATTATGTGCATAATTGGTACTTATAATAAATACAGGGTTATGTTGTTCACCTTAAGGTCATTGCAAATGGTAAGGGGACACAAATTATGCCTAGAGGAAAAGAGGTTTAACATCCACACATGGAAAGATTTCTTGACAGTAACAGCAGTAAAAACAGAGACAGTTAGATCTAGCAAACTCTGTAAGTTGCTTAAAGTGTTACTAAACCGACAACAGTAAAATCAGTCTGTATATGCAGTAAAACATGCTTGTTATACTCTCCATGGAACCTAAGGGGTTAATCCTCTGCATTTTGTAAAAACACTGTTTGATCCTGACTTCTCTGATCCTCCTCTTCTTTCATTGTCCCCCTCATATCTCTTGATAAGACATATCATGTGGGGTCACTCTGCACATGCTCAGGTTGGTGTGTATTGCTACAGAGGTTGTTTTTTTTTTTCTTGGGAGACTGCATGTGATCACAGGGCTAATCAGCACTCTCCAGACAGAGGTCAGGGTTTCTGCATCCTCCTAGAGGAGGATAAAATCTCCTCCTACAAGCTTTAACTTGTGTTTGGCTGGACCAGATATAGTGAATGCAGGGTCCTGGGTTTAGAAACTTTAAAAAGGCTGGATGTATTTCAAAATACAACTGGATATTAATATTTATAAGAAATAACATGGATTATGGAGAATGTAGAAGAAATAGCAGGGATGCAGGGAGAATCTGATTCCCTTAAGGCAGCTTTTCTCAAACTCCCACCCGCCCCCCCCCCCCCCTTCTCAAGGGACACTTTAATTTTTAGATTTTGGGAAACGCCTGTTAAAATCAATTCATTTGGGGGGTCAGTGGGGAAAAAAGTTCTCCTTAAACTGGTGGTCAGTGGGAAGAATGCAACCCTTACAGTAGTAGTCAGAATGCCATTCATACAGATAGCTAAAAAGAGAATTGATGGCCAACTGTGCTATGTGGCAATGGTCCCAGAACGATGCAGGCATCATCAAATGAGAGGCCAATCTATCACAGCTAAAGGAACCCTAGCAACCTTTAGTGGAACCCTGGGAATCCATGGAACCCTGGTTGAGAATGGCTGCCCTACAGGATCAGGAAAGATTATTTTCCTGCTGGAGCAAATGGGATGATTTATTTTTTGCCTTCTTGTGGATTGGTCCTAAATGCTAGGGTTCTGAGAATGCAGGTTTTTATTTTTTTTTTTCTTTTGATTCAACTAGATGGACATGGGTCTGTTTCTTCAACCCAACTATGTACAGTAACTATGTGAAACTTGTATTTTAGGTTAGATGGTCTATAAGCTTATATTTTGTTGAAACCCTTATAAAAAGAACAATGGAAAGAAGAATACCAAAATCAATCAAAAGTACTTACTCCGCCAGGTCGCTCCCAAACATCTCCATTTACTATTTTTAGCTTTTCACGTTGTGCAAGTCCTTTGGATTCTGAAATTCTGCTGGCGTTATAAATATATATAGAGAGGAGAACCACAGGTGCTTCTAGAAAGAATTCCAGAGAGGGCTTGAAATTGAATACAAAAAACGACACAATCGTAATTATAACTGTTGTCACTTGTGCCGTGAGGACATGAAACATATTGTCTCGGAATTTCAATATAAAAGCCACCGACAATCCTACAAATGCAGTTGCAAAAATGAGAGCAATTGAAAATCCATTATGGCCATAGAAAAATCCACAGGATTTTATTTTGCTAAAGTGCTCGCTGTGAAAAGACAACGTGAGGCCATTGAACAACACGCCAAACACGTAAAGTTTGCTATTTTGAATGAAAATGCTCTCAGAAATCTGGTCCCCGTCTTTCAAAATTTTCTCATTGTAGATGTTTGCTAGAGCTGATATAACACATTGAATTAAAATGAGAAAATGACCGAATCCAAGAGGCATATTCTTCAGTGCAGATTGTAATACAGAAGTCCTGGAATCCTGGCTTCCTGCATCAGTCTTTGACACGTAAATGCAACTGTTGGATGGGGCTGAATGGAATATGTGGTGAACTCCATGAACAGATACATCTTTGTGGGTACCATTTTGGGATGTTAGGCCCATAATAGATAGGAAGAGAATAAGCAGGGATGCCCATTGTACATATGAAAGTTGACGCCTACAAGAGAACACAAGACAAACACATAAGGATCTAAAAATGCATTTCATATTTTCAGAACAAGATCACGCTTATGATTTACAGAGAAATAACAGTTTAAATCAAATTCCAGATCAGTATAGACCCACCTAATGCTATCATTTGCATTGTCTAGCAGACTGAAATGAGACCTTCATTTCTAAAGCACATTACTCTTTTACTAAAAATGCCAGGGACACTAAACATCTTTGCAAATATAACATTTTATCTCTGCCTTTAGTCCTGCTATAAGTCGCTGATCGCCACCATTACTAGTAAAAATGAAAAAAAAAAAAAAAAATTCTAGTATTTATAGTCATTTGTAAATGCTATACATTTTGGCCTAAAATTATTACGAAATTTGATTTTTAACATTTTTTTTTTTTACTGGACTTGTTTGTTTAATAGCAAAAAGTCAAAAATATAGTTTTTTTTCTTTAAATTGTCAGTCTATTTTTTTTTTTAATAGCGCAAAAAATAAAAAAAACACACAGGTGATCAAATACCAATGAAAGAAAGCTCAATTCATGGGGAAAAAAGGACATAATTTCATTTGGGTGCAGCGTGGCATGACCGCGCAAACAACAGTTAAAATAACAGCGCCGTAACGCAAAAAAAAAAATGGCCTGTCAGGAAGGGGGGGGGGGGGGTAAATCCTCAGGAGGGCAAGTGGTTAACAGGGATACAGACAACAATAAAAACCTGACAATTGTTCTAATTCCCTCTTCACACTATGCAAAATTAGAAAAAAAAAAAATATTTCGCCTTTACTTACACTTTAATTGTGAACAACACCCAAGCAGATTTCACCAGTTTATTGAAGTTAACAAAACCTCAACTGCAGAGGTAGAACTACCACCCCCATGGGTTGCCAAATACCTGCCACCCCCATGGGTTTGCCGCACTTTACAGTCAGCCGCGTACTTGTAAACTAGCTTGTGGTTAGGTATGGCAAGCTAGGATTACAGTTACATTTTTTACAAACACTATATAAAAGTCAAAAAATTCAAATTACCAGTTACCTAGGAATCAGACTGAAATAACTTGAAACTAAAAATGAGATTAAAATGTAAAAATCCAATCTGAGTTTGAATCAGCTACATTCTGCAATGCATTCATTTAACAATATTTAGAAATTCTTTTGAGTAGGTATGATGGTAGCATGTTTAAATGGCGGATAAATATGTGGTATTTCCAGTTGGTTGCTCCAAGAAAGTCAAAATAAGAGAATGTTTTACAGGAAGAGGAAATATAACCTGTCCTAAAAAGCAGAATGTGGATCTTGCGGGAGACACCCATTGTTTCTGGCACTCAACCAATAGAAACCTCTTTTCATGGAAAGTCATTGCTCTAGAGATCATCAACTCTAATCTAAATTCAGATTTAAGTGCAATGAAAAGCCAGCTCCACGGAGAATGAATCACAAAGGAAAACTGCTAATCATTCCAAATGATAAATACTTTCACCTGTAGTGAAAGAAAGATGTGACTGTAAATACTGAACTTTTAAAAAAATGTCTTTTGCCAAGTTTCCTCTGAATTCAATGTTTTGTTTTGTTTTTTTTAAGTGATCTGAAACAAGCATGCAGCTAGTGAAGTCAGATTTTCACAGACTCGGAACGTTTACGCTAGCTTCACAGCTATGCGTCTCTGCTTTTCTGAGTTTTTATTTTTTTTGGCAAGTGCACTGTCCTGTCAAAAGCCCTTATAAAAAGGTGTGTTATGCACATGAACAGATCAATAAACACGCATGAATTTTCTTTTTTTGGTCAATGCATGTCAACACACCACATCTCTGTGAAACAGCCTTCATGTCAAATAAAGTATTAAAGCTACATAGATGTGACTAGTGTTATATGCCTAGATGGTAAAGTGATTGTAAAGAATCTAATTTTATTTAAAAAAAAAAAAAAAAAAAAAAAAAAACACACAACATGTAAGAATTTTACGAGCTTTTGGAGATCGATCTTTAGGTTGTTATCCAATATCATTGTGTTCTACTACAACCCAACCCTGCCTTGGCAATTTTAAACAAACATACAAATTGAGGAGAAACCCTTCCCATTTTGAACTGTGGGCACTGACACTGGAAGGTGTCCAAAGCCCCAAACTTCCCAGAAGTGATCACCTTAGTTAAATTAAATTTTTCTTATGAGAGATCTCTTTCTATTAGAGCTGGTTGATACAAAACATTTGATAGGGAAGGGAAACTGTGGACAGATTGGTGTAGCAAGAAGCCTCCTGTTCTTTAATGCTTGTCTATCAATACTTATTGGCACTGTGATATTAGGTTATTATTTATGTATGTGCACAGAATTACTAGTTTGTATTCTACTGCCCTGATTGGCAGGATCGCCTTATGTGGATCACCATGTTTAAAAACTATTCTAATCCACTTTTCGCTTCGCTTATTTTGAAATTTTAGAAAAAAAAAAAGTATTAATTAAGCAGGCATTCAGCAGCGGCAGGGATGAGAATGCAGAGCATCGGTTGCACTATATGCTGCCCCTCTTGTCCAGTCTGCCTTGTGTTTCTGGCAGCCATCCGATGCTGGGACTGCCAGCTCCACCCCCTAGCTCCGCCCCTCCGCCTTCAGCCAGGTGTCCTACTGTCACACTGCCCCCCCCCCCCCACCTGTCACACTGCCCCCCCCAACCCCCCAATTCACCACCTGCTACACTGCCCCACCCTCCCTCCTATCAATCCCCCAGCAGGGTTCCTAAAAAATTGTATAAAATAATAAACATAAAATTGTAAAAAAAAAAACAAATCAAATGATAAAAAATAATAAACAAAAAAATGAAAATTAAAACCTAATAACCCCGCCCACTGCCCTGCTGACCACATCCAATGCATTACTGACAAAGTCAACTTGCTATGTTGACACCATCCACTGCTCTACTGACCAGCAAAACAATCCTATTGACACCAGTGGTGGAACTACCCGGGTCACAAGGGTTGCATTTGCAACCGGACCCTAGCTTTCCAGCACTGTGGGGAGACCCCAAGACAGGAAAGGGGCCCACTGCAGAACATGTGAAAGGGATCGGCTGTGGGACCATAATAAAGAACTGCGCAATGGGAGTAAAGCGTCCTGGGATCAGAGAGAAGGGACACAGCCAGGATCGGGTGGCCTTTCATGGTTTCTTGCACCAGGGCCCTGAAGGTTTTAGTTATGCCTCTGCCGCTCAGCTTTGACAGCTGGCTTTCTCCCTGCAAGCAGTTATGCTACCCCCTAGTTTTTACACACTGAATGGCTCTCGCAGGCCTCACCACCTGCTGCATGTAGAACGGTTTCATCTGGCTGTGCTGGTCTGATGTCCCAGGTGTGGTCATTGCCGGCTGCATGCTGATCTGCCTTTGCCTCTAATGTAATAGTGCCTGTTGCGGTGACCCCACAGGAGGGGGACTTCCCCTCACTTCCTATCCCTGTGACACCACTAGAGGGAGACTTCCTGTTTCTGTGACACCAATGGAATGAGTCTTCCCAACCATTCCTGCTTTTGTGACCTCACTGGAGAGAAACTTCCCCTCACTTCCTGTCCCTGTAACAACACTGGAGGAAGACTTCCAGTTTCTATGACACTAATGGAAGGAGTTTTCCCCTCACTTCCTGTGACACCAATGGAGGGAGATTTCATGTTTCTGTGATACTAATGGAAGGAGTCTTCCCAACAATTCCTGTTTCTGTGACCCCCACTGGACAAAGACTTACCCTCATTCACTGTCCCTGTGACCCTGTCAGGAGACTTCCCCTCACTTCCTGTCTGTGACCCAACCGGAGGGAGACTTCCCCTCACTTCCGGTTTCTGTGAGCCCCACTTGAGGGGGACTTCCCCACACTTCCTGTCCCCGTGAAACCACTGGAGGGAGAATTCCTATTTCTGGAACACTACTGAATGGAGACTTCCCCTAATATCCTGTACATCCCGTTTCTGTGACCCCCACCGGAGGGAGCTCTCCCTCACTTCTGGGTTCTGTGACCCCAAAGGAAGGAGGCTTCCCTTCAATTTCTGACCCTGGCACAGGAACAGCCATAAATACATTGCAAGAGGTTCAACACCTTACTTGCTGTACTTTAAATGTGCTCTTATCTGTGACCCCCATGGGACACGTTTCAAGTTCTCTCTTGTAGCATGGCTATAGTCTTTGGACAATTAGTTTATTTGCTGTTGTGTCTGGAGGGGGAGAGATGACATGTGAGGACAGCAGCCACAGCAAACCTACAGGAAGATTATAATAGACTAAATAGATTGAACTAAACATTTTACACATGCATGCTTTACATTTATAAGATTGTCATCTGTCCTGGTGTGTGGTGCTGAGCAGTGTGGCTGGAGAATGAGGGGGCGTGATTTATGTTGAAGTAAGCGAGTACACATACAACATGTACAGGCCTAGTGTACCCGTCCACATTCCCTGCAATTCCCAAAGGTTGATGGGAAGTGTAGTTTCCTGAGAGGAGAGAATATGATGTAATCCCTCCTGTTACACATCCTCCTGTGCAGAGCAGATGCTGTTCTCTTTTGAATTACAGTGGAGAATTCCTAAAAATTCAGTTACACTTTTCTCTTCAACAGTAGTAAGGAATTTCACATATGTGTTAACTGTTTAGTGTTTTGTGTAGGAGGATGTAGTAAGGGGTGATTTTTTTTTGCCTATCCCAGAGTTCTTCTTTAAGCTTTCATTTAACCATATAGAACCAGGAAATTAGCATTTTTAGATGGAGAAGACAGCAATACATATATTTCGGCATAAATATCCTTCGAAGTAAATCTGTCAATTTTGGCCACCTTGAACATTGAGAATGAATCATTTCAAAGTGCCTCCCAGCTATAGGAAGTCGGCAAGGGCTTGTATGAAAGTTCATTCACTGCTTGCTAAGAATATGAAACAGTTACACTGAGCCAAACAGCCTTTTTTCTCAATCACAGATAGCACACAGTAATTAATTTAATTGAATGGTTCATTATAATATCAGATAAAACTGCACTTACTTAAGTATGATCCTGAAGAAAAATGCAGTTGTAATAATGACAAAATTGGATAACAATACAGCCATGGCCTAATTGCAAAAAGTAAAAAGAGAAAAGAAAAATTATTTAAAATAAAGCATGCATGCAAGTACAATTATTGTAAACCATCTGTACAAACACTAGAGACCAAATGGGAGGAATGAATGCCAGTAAAGACATGGAAACTACTTGGAGGATGCTTTTGGTTTTCTGCTATTCATTTCACCTTTGAAGTGAATAGAAAACCCTCACCGTGTAAAACAACCCATTCAGTTTAAAATAGAAATGAAAGGCAAAACATTTGTGTACACATAAAAAACCATAAATACTTTTTTTTCACCTTTTTTTAAAGTGTTACTAAACCCAGGACCCTGCATTCACTATATCTGGTCTCCCACAGTATGCAGAACATGGAAGTGTAATTATTTTTGTAAATATAAACTGCTAAATACCTTTTCTCATCAACAGTTAGAGCAGCCTTGTGACTTCTATCAGTGTCCAGCCACGTACATGTTAATGCTTGTAGAAGGAGTTTACATTCTGCAGGACCCCTGACCCCTGTCTGAATAGTGCTGATTCGCCCTGTGCTGATCACATGCACTCTCCCAAAAAAAAACAAAACCTAACAATACACACCAAACTGAGCATGTGCACAGTGACTTCACACAATATGTCTTATATATACACAACACAGAGTAATAACCCCCTAGGTTCCACAGTGAGTATAACAAGCATGCTTTACTACATATACAAACTGATTTTACGGTTGTTGGTTTAGTATCACTTTAAGTGATCACATTCCCTCTGTTCTCAGATGCATAGGAGCTAGAGGAGGAAAAACAGCAGCACACCGATTTCCAAGTGAAAGGTTGTGCAGGGGGGAAGTCAGCATGGAGTTTCTAGCACAGAGGAACTGGCAGGAACACCAGGGATTTCACACAAAGGGAGCCATACAAAGAAAGCAGATACACTTTCATACAAGTACATGGTACAGCAGGCACATGACAGGAAAATAAAATGTTGGGTTTATATACACTTTAAATATTAAGATTATTCCTCAGATCTGTTTGTATGTGCCAATGCTGTTTAAGGCTAGTTTGTGAAATAATGTTGCATGATACAAAGCACAACTAGCATATCTGCTTTTCTGTAGAAAGATGGGTTTGGCATGAGATTGTTGACTTGCTTACTTCCATCTTAGAAAAACCTATTTGTGTAGAATTAAAAATAATTATCCTTATTCTTCAAAAATAATCAATACACATGTAGCACCCTCCTAGTTTAGCTAAGGGGAGTCAGACCCTAATGGTTAGTGAGGAGCTGGTTAGCAGCTCAGGCGAGCTAGCCAGAGGGGTCAGATTCTGGTCAGGACTGAGATCCTCCAGGCCAGCCCCTCTGGAATTTCCCCCTGCTCTAAGGCTTTCGGTGGAGGGCCTTGGAGGCAGTGTGTGGATCAGAAGAGTGGTTGGTTCCACTCTTGAGGGAAATCAGCCAATACCCAACAGGAGGCATGGCAAGAGTCTGGGACTCCCTTAAAGGTGTAGGAGCCTGGTCAGTAGCAGAAGTGTGTGGTGGTGGGAGAGGAGCGTGGAACAGGAAGATGTGAGGCAGGAGGAAGAAGGCTGCAAGGAGGCCTAGTGGGATGGGGCCTGCCTAACCTGGGGCTAGAAAGGAGAAAAACTTGGGACTCACTGACCCCTCACCCCCTGAACGAGGACCGACTGTATGGCAGGGAAGGAGGAGCCCAGCTGATATGCCTGGTAGCAGCAGCCATACCACAAACGGTACAGGAGAGGCTCTGAGTGAATACAGCTGCGCCCCCTGGGCGGATAAAGGAAGGAGAACTCTGGTGGGAAATCAGATTAGCCCTCTGCTAGTGACTGTGCACCTTATTTAAAGGAACAGATCCCCTGCTCAGGAAGAAAGTCTTCAGATTTCTAGGTGAAGAGGAGATCATCTAGGATCTAGGGTGAGTACCCCTAAGGGGGTAGTACTACACACATCTACTACTTAATGGCACAGTGGGACCATAGAGAACAAACATAGCCACCCTCTACCAGGAAGTCAGTCAATGTACACAGGGTAAATGGGCTTTTTATAATTATGAAGAAAAATCTACCATCTGAAGGCAAATGAACTGTGAAATAATCATTAGCTACTTAATAAATACAGTTGGTATAGAAAAGAATCACCCCCTTTAAAATAATCAATTTTGTTGCTTTGCAATGAAGCCAGACACTGTTTTTTTTTGTTCTGCTGTATTTTTTGTGTGCAACTTATAACCCCCTGGTGTCTGTATTTTGTTGAACCACCTTTTTCTTTAATTACAGCCTTTAGTTTGTTGGGATACGTCTCTACTAACTTTGCACATCTAGACTTTGCAATATGTGCGCATTTTCTTTGCAGAACTGCTCAGGTTCAGTTAAATTTGATGGAGAACGTTTGTGGACTACAGTCTTCAAGTCATTTTCAATGGGGTTTAAGTCTGGGCTACGACTAGGCCATGCAAGGACATTCACCTTTTTCTCCTTCAACGACTGTGCAGTCATTTCTGCTGTGTGCTTATGGTCATCGTCACGTTGGAATGTAAAGATTCTTCCAATTGAAAACTTTCTGACAGAGGGCAGCAGATTTTCCTCAAGAATTTGATGGTATTTTGCCCCATTTTTCCTTCTATCCTAACAAGAGCTCCAGTTCCTGCTGCAGAGAATCACCCTCATAACATATTAACACCTCCATGTTTTACTGTAGGAATGGTGTGCTCTTTTGGATGGTGAGCTGTATTGGATTTCCGCCAGACATATTGTTTAGTGTTGAGGCCGAATAACTCAATTTTAGTCTTATCCAACCATAACACTTTTCCACGTGGCCTCAGAATCTTCAAGTTGTGTTTTTTGGCAAAGTTCAGCCGTGACTGCATGTGGCCTTTCTTGAGGAGTATTTTTTCCACACAAGCCACATTTGTGGAGAATTTGTGATAATGTTGTCACATGCACACAATAACCACCCTTTGTCATAAATTCCTAGAAATGCTTTAGAGTTGCTGTAGGCCCCTTTGTAGCCACTTTGATGAGTTTCCACCTGGCTCTTTCATCCAGCCTGGAGCAAAGTACTGATCCAGGGAGGATCTGTGTTGTACATAATACTTTACACTTCTTAATAATAGACTTCACTGTGCTTCTAGGCATTCATAAAGCCTTTGACTTTTTTTGTATCCATTTCCTGACTTTTGCCTGTCCACAACTTTATCCCATTGACAGTGCCTTGCCAACCCATAACTGATTGTTTGCTTCAGTTGTCCTACCAGAGACTAAAATGCACTAGGAAAGCTCTTTTCAGCCCTGGTTCACACTGGATCTGACTTTGAAATCATGCGACTTCACTTGAAGGTGCACGATTTCAAAATCGCATGTCAGTGCGACTTCAGGTGCAGATTGGCAGACACCTGTGCAACTTCATGCACAGATGTCTATGCAAGTTGCATCTGAAATCGCAAAAAAATAGTGCAGGAACTACTTTGAACTGCTCCATTGTGGACAATAGGGTGCGACTTGTCATACAAATCGAAAAACAAAACGTTTGACAAGTCCCACCAGAGGGCTCATACTGAGCTAATTAAAATGACCACAGCTGATCACAGTTGAAAGTCAAATGGCTTTGTGTGCCATTGAGAAGGTAATTAGCTACACCTGATTGAGTTTACAAGTCATTTTTAGGATGGGGGTGATCCTTTTTCCAAATCAGGAATTCTGTTTTCGATTTTGTTTTTTGACACATTGGTGTTATAGCTTTCACTTGAATGCTGTAAGTTGCACTGAGAAAACACAGTTGGATGAAACACAAAATGGTGTCTTCCTTCATTTCAGGCTGAAAAACATCAAAATGTGATTATTTTAAAGAGGGGGCGATTCTTTTCTATACCCACTGTATGCTCCCAAGTGCTCCAAAACTGTAGACTGAAGTCCACACAGGGTGCTTTCATTCTCTAAAGATAGAAAACCCTGGAGAAGGACACAATTATTTGTTCTCAATATGTCCCTTAGATACTCTGTGCAAGTGCTTGGAACTATAGTGTCTGCCAAGCACTGTGGGGAAAAAAATCAGAACTTTTTAAAATGTACTAAAAATGTATTAAATGTTTCTCAAGCTAATATTTTTTTTGTTTTTTACATTCATAATTTTTTTTAAATTAGTTGAATAAAACATGGAAGTCAAAACCCTGCCGGGTATTTCTTGCTGTCTGTATCCACACAGGGGTATTTTCTTTTCCCAAAGACAAAACAGGACACTGACAGGATAGATTAAAAAAAAAAAAAAAAAAAAAAAAATCTGACAAGGTTTTCACCATTTTCTATTGTATCCGATTATATAAAGTGTTAGCATGTATGTATATTTATCTTTAGGTGTACACAAGAACTTGGGTTTTGCTAATGACATGCAATTGAGAGGCATTTTTTAAGGATCTGGAACAAAGCATCTGTCTTTTTTAAATACATCCACTTACGTTATCGGTTGCTTTTCATCTGCATTGCTTATGTTGAATTTATTTACACATAGCACGGGCTATACTGTGTCACTAACTGCTTTATTTTCTCTATATTTGTCATTGGAAACATACTGTATGTGCGCTTGAGCCCTTATAAAAATATATGCAACACTGTAAAAAAAAAAAAAAAAAAAAAAAAGCCATAGCCATATGCTGTAATAAACCACTAAAAATACTTACTGGCTGTAAGTAGATCAAAACATAGAAAATGATCAAATTATCCAGAAAGTAAAGAAATGCTGGTACAGCCCATTTCATGTAGCGAAAGAACTCCTTTAAAGTAAAGCATGTACAGCATCTAAGCGGGCGCTTCTCTAAGAGGGGGAAAAGAAAAAGCATTTTAATGAAACATTCCAAAAGCAAACTAAAGTCTATAAAAACACAAAACAAAAAACGTTTTTGCTTTGTGCATTAAAGAAAAAGGTTAAGACAAAATATACCTTTTACTCTGCAACTGGCTAGAGTTATTTTAAGGTGCCTTAAATAAATTAGCCATATAAGTATATGTAAGCCCTAACAATGAACAACTGCTATTTGCTCTTTTATTTGGTCTGTTAAAAAGAAAATTTAAAGGCTAAAGTTCACCTATTTTTTTCAAAATTCCACCGTCCCTATGTATCAATATACCATTAAAAGAGAAGTATGGGAATAGCAAAAAAAAATATCATACTTACCTAGATGGCTGCAGCACTGATCGCAGCTGCAGTTGTCCCCCACCAGCTGTTTCCCAAGAACTGAGTGACCAAACACCACTGATCGCTCAGTTGCCCTGACCCCCCCCCCCCCCCCCCCCCCACTCTGAGCAGAGAGTGGTGATTGTCAGTCACTGGCTCTCTGCTTTGCCCCTCCAATACTGGATAATACAATAACGGAGTCCCGGGCTGGGGATGTTGCGGGAGGTGCTGGATCAGGCTTTCAGTGGCATGCTGGGAGGCTGAGCCAGCTGCTGGTCCAGGCATCTGGGTAGATCCCAACTGTAAAGTGGGGATCTTTCCCGAGCCTGGATTAGTTGAGTGATACAGCCTGCTGTCAGCTGAACAAAGGTCACAGGAGTACAGGACGAATTGCACTCCTATGAGCCACAGAACTATAACCAAACTAGCCTTGGCTATACTTCTCCTTTAATGTACCTCTGGCGCAGAAAATAAAAAGCTTTCTCTGCCTTGTAGGACAGGCCTTACCTCAGCCTCCAGTCTCCTATTAAAAACTCCTCCATTACCTGTCCTGGAATTTGGTGTTTGGGATGGAAAAACCATTACAAGGAAGTACTTCACCAGCTAATCTCATTAACACACACAGTGCACCTATCCTTCCCCTTCCAAGAGATTGCTCCTGCTGTAAAGCTCACCATACACTATACAATTGGATTGTACAAGCTCCTTTAGATCTACCATCAAATATGTAGTGCAAGGGCCTGCCTGATTGGATAGACAGATGTGTTATCCTATTATATAGTTTTGGTAAATCTAAAGGAGATCATACAGAGATTGTACAATCAGACTGTATCGTGTATACACCTAAAATAAACTAGTTGCGCTTTCAGTGCCATTAATTGTTAACGGCACCCCAAACGCAGAAGCGAACACACATGATGCCACGTGAAACATTTAGCAAAATGCACAGTAAAACATGCAAACCACAACATGCCAAAATGTTAAAGGAAGCTGTAGGAAAGTGGCTGGAAATAAAACAAGAGGTAGTATAGTAATGATAGAAGTAAACACACCCTATTCTGTGTTGCAGTAAGGCAGTGCATGATGGGAGATGAAGCTTCCTGGAATTTCACATGATCTACATACAGGAAGTGATGGAAGCAAAAAGTTTTAACCACTTGACAATCACGATATAGCTAAATGACAGTTACACGCGGTTGTCCAGTTCTGGGAGGGTGTCATATGACGTCCTCCCAGAACGCGCCCTCCCGCGGCGAGCACCTGGTGATCTCCATGATTGCTGTGTCCTATGGACACAGCTGATCATGTGATGGGGTAAACGGCCAATCACAGTGGACTTTTACCACGTGATTAGCTGTGTCCAACGACACAGCAGATCACCGGGTAAATACAGTTGCCAGTTATCGGCTGCACTTTCCTCACGCTGTCACAGCGTGAGGAAAGTACTGTTGATAACCGGCAATTGTTAGAGAACAGATCGGCACTGATCATCAGTGCCGCCCCCAGCAGTGCCAACCACTAGTGCCCAGCAGTGCCTCCCGCCAGTGCCCACCAGTGCCACCCACCCATGCCCACCATTGCTGCATATCAGTGCTGCATCATCAGTGCCACCTATCAGTTCCTATCAATGCTGCCTATCAGTGCCTATCAGCGCAGCCTCATCAATAGCACATCAGTGAAGGAGAAAAATTACCTGTGTGCAAAATTTTATAATAGAAACAAAGAAAAACTTTTTTTTTTCTTGAAAATTTGTTTTCTTTATAGTGCAAAAAATAAAGCACCCAGCAGCAATTAAATAGCACCAAAAGAAAGCTCTATTTGTGTGAAACACGATACAAATTTCATATGGGTACAAAGTTGCATGACCGCACAATTGTCATTCAAAGTGCGACAGCCAAAAATTGGCCTGGGTAGGAAGGGGGTATAAGTGCCAGGTAGGTAAGTGGTTAATCTCAAACAGAAAGGTGAAAGTTCAAAGCTGCCATTGACTAGGTAAGTGGGAGATAAGCACATTGGGATGGCTTGAACAGAAAGGACATTAGAAAAGGTTTCTTTTTATTCTGAAACGTGAAATTTGGCCTGAAAAGGTGAACTTAGCCTATTTTGTTATATCTGTTCAATAGGTGCACAAAAATACCTGCCAGGATTCCAGTGTGCTCAGTACTTCCTGGGCGCTCTACCTCTTCCCATGCATGCTTATTGGCATGGCTCAATTTCCTTTGTGGACAACGAAACACTCCCCTCTTATGTTATGAAGATTAGAAGAGAAGGGGTCTGCTTTGATGTGAAAGAATAATAATCCCTTTCCTCAGAGCGGATGACCAGCCTCTGATGAAGATGTGTGTTGAATGGAAAGTAGGAGCCTTGCTGTTGACGCCTACTTTCCATTCATCACACATCTGCATCAGAGGCTGGTCATCAGCTCTGAGGAAAGGGATTCGTCCCCGAAACACGTCAGCCATTTGACTGCACTGACAGTGAGAACACCTTGCCTGCCGTTGTGGCCATCGTCATTTTTCTATGCTTTTTAGATACATGCTTCGTCTGTGAGTATGTCTTTATTATTCTTTCATTCCTTACAATAAACCTTGGATAATGCACTAGGTGTGTGCGCCACCTGTTTTCTCTCACAAACAGAAAAAAGCCTGGTAGAGATGTCTTCCCCAGTCAAAACAAAACAAATTGACTGTTGGGCGTTAAACATCAGATGTAGTGCTGCTTACAGCTCCATGCACACTTTTTAACCTCCTATCAGCTAGTTAGGAGCGTTTTTTTTTTCCTGCCCCTGGAAGAAAACAGTGTTATCCTATGTAAAACATAAGGAATGCTGCGCTACATTCAAATCAACTAAATTGTGAATGTGGGATCCCAAAATATCAAATCAAAAAATGTGACAATGTTAACAATATTAACAATGCAAATCTATGCGTGCTTGCTGATAATAACAACAATCAAATAAATCACTCAAAAAATGTAAAAACACAAAAAAACACAGAAAACCATATCTATATGTATGTGCATGAACCAAAAATACACATACATATAATTAAATCACACGTGCCTATTGTGAAGTGAAAAAATAACCATAATAATGGTGACACAAACTAATATCTCAAAGTCCAAAAAATATAAAATATTGTTGGTGAACAAAACAGTGCTTCCAAATTATACTGTTAGTGACCACAGGTGAAAACTCGTGTAGGTTTCTGGGTGTATATAGATCTACGAATCCAACCACCTTCTGGATTAGCCTCTCACCTCATCCCTTCGACCCTTGCGGATCAAAGAGCAGTAGTGGATCCCTCTCACAGATCCTCCAGGTACAAAAGCACTCCAAGACAGCTTTCAGGATATAATATTCCCACTATGCTCTTCTCCAGGAAAGGATGTAATATCAATCTCTCAGAATAAGACAAAGGAATCCTCCCATAGTGTAGTATATTTAATTATACCATAGGAACATGTAGCATATTAAATAAAAAAAACTTACGTAGCAGCCAGTCCACACTAAAGCCTCATGCTTTCAGATGAGGATATATCTGTTGGGTGTACAGCTGAATACACAGGTGTACCAAGATGGCCGCCACGCCGGAAATACGTCACCGCGTTAAGCCAACGCGTTGCGTCACAATGTCATGTGACTTCATCAGGGCTGTCAATCACAGTGACGGTCACTCTTTAAATACCCAACTAAACAGAGAGAACCACCCACATAGGAGGTGTTTTCTTCAGCCTAATCTCATCAATACTTCCTGCGGCCATTACACTGAAGACCACTGGGGACTCCTATGCAAAAAGTGTATATGCTAATAATTACACTAGGTGCATTTACACAGAAAACGTCCGAGAACTGTATAATAATGCACCAACTGCAATTAATATACCTAATAATTAAAAACAACAAAAAACCTTTATATCAAATTCCCATTTTATTTTAATTAAAAAACAAAAGAATATATTATTTATTAAATATAAAAATATAAAATTAAAATATAATTAAAAAATATATATAAATAAAATAGACCATCTCTCACATAATTAATGCTATTATCAATCATAGTTATGGTAAATTTCAGCATATAATCTCTAATTATATACACCAAAACTACAGCCAATTAATTTTATACAATAACACGGAAATATATACATACCTGTGCACATAGGGACGCACACGTATATACACAATCCAAACCTCAGTCTAATCGAAAATTATTATATATAAATTTTAAAATTAATAAAATAATTTAAAAGTTATTATTTATTAATGAGAATTCATATTTTATCAAAATTCTATTTAAAATATTTATAATAACCCAACCCTTCACCAGCTCATAAAAGACCTACTCCGAAAAAAAAAACTCACACACATATATATTCTATCCGAAAGCATGAGTTTACATAATCAATGTATAAAATTATTATAAATGTATATATCTATAGCACCATCTCAATTAACCTCAAAAATCAGAAATAAAACAATTTAAATCAAACTCAATGTTCAAACCATTGGGGAAATAAGTGTGCATACTATAAATCCACTTTGACTCTAATTGGCTCAAAGTACGCACTTTATGGCTGCCTCGCCAGTGTCTCTTATATTTTGTGATATCCCAAAATTTTAGTTCACTAGGGTCTTTGTTATGAAATTTGGCGAAATGCTTAGAGACGCTATGCTTCGGGAACCCCTTCTTTATATTTTGCACATGTTCCCGGAGCCTGACCCAAAGAGGTCGTTTGGTTCTCCCTATATATTGCATTCCGCAACTACATTGCAGCGCGTACACAACTCCCTCTGTCCTACAAGTAATAAATTCTTCGATCTTAAATTCTTTCTTACTTACAGATGAAGTAAAATTCATCAATTTCTTATTCCTTCCTTTTGTGGATTTGCACGCATAACATGTCCTGCATGGAAAGAACCCATTTATATCCAAAAAAGTGACATTCTTTTTAGTGGGTGGATCGAGAACATTTTTAACAATTTTATCTCTTAGTGTTGGGGCTTTTCTATATCTAAACGTGGGGAATTCTGATATTATCTCTTTCAGGGCCGGATCAGCTTTCAATAGTGGCCAATATCTTCTAAAAATAGTTTCCACTTTTTTATAATGGACATTGAAATCTAGGCATATCACAAGTTGATCTTTCTGTTCCTCATTTTTCTCTCGATCTACCAACAGTAAATCTCTTTTTGTATTCCCAACTTCCTGGATCGTTTTACTAATTAAATTTTGCTGATAACCTTTGGCTTCAAACCTCTGGCCTATATTTTTTGCTTGACTTAAAAAATCCTCCTGCATAGTGCAATTCCTTCTGAGTCTGATCATTTGACCTTTTGGTATGTTCAATAACCATGGCTGCTACGTAAGTTTTTTATTTAATATGCTACATGTTCCTATGGTATAATTAAATATACTACACTATGGGAGGATTCCTTTGTCTTATTCTGAGAGATTGATATTACATCCTTTCCTGGAGAAGAGCCATAGTGGGAATATTATATCCTGAAAGCTGTCTTGGAGTGCTTTTGTACCTGGAGGATCTGTGAGAGGGATCCACTACTGCTCTTTGATCCGCAAGGGTCGAAGGGATGAGGTGAGAGGCTAATCCAGAAGGTGGTTGGATTCGTAGATCTATATACACCCAGAAACCTACACGAGTTTTCACCTGTGGTCACTAACAGTATAATTTGGAAGCACTGTTTTGTTCACCAACAATATTTTATATTTTTTGGACTTTGAGATATTAGTTTGTGTCACCATTATTATGGTTATTTTTTCACTTCACAATAGGCATGTGTGATTTAATTATATGTATGTGTATTTTTGGTTCATGCACATACATATAGATATGGTTTTCTGTGTTTTTTTTTTGTGTTTTTTTTTGTTTTTACATTTTTTGAGTGATTTATTTTGATTGTTGTTATTATCAGCAAGCACGAATAGATTTGCATTGTTAATATTGTTAACATTGTCACATTTTTTGATTTGATATTTTGGGATCCCACATTCACAATTTAGTTGATTTGAATGTAGCGCAGCATTCCTTATGTTTTATATTTACTTGATCACTGGTATATGATTTAATGCTAGCAGCTCCCTTTGGGATTTATACACACATTTATTTGATTTATACACTTGGAGCGCAGGAGGGTCACACCACTAGTGTTATCCTATGCACACTATTGCAGGCTAAAAGCATTTTTTCAAGCTTCAGCTTCTAGTAGCAGAAAAATAAAACAAAAAAACACTACTTTTTTCCCCTACATGTACTTTAAAAATGTTAATAAAACGTTAGCGCTCCTAAAATGCTAAAATATTTAAAAAATGCGATTACCAGCGGTTTTTATCTAGTGTGCATGAAGCCTACAAAGGATCTTGCCCCCAGGTCAAATCTCTATATATGATGAACCTTTTATTCAAAACTACATACCTGTGTTGCCAACAGTATTCTCATATGTTTATCATTTTATTGACAAGCTCTGCAAGTTAAGACTTTTCTTTATATCTTTTAATTTTACCTAGCATGGGGAAGAGTGAATTCTTGAAAACCCCTCATGGGGTTAATTATTGCGGTCTGTGTCCCGCTGTAGGAGTGACTTCCTTTACTGCCTATCTTTTGAACAGGAAGCAACAGAACATGTACCCAAAGTGAAGGGAATTCTCATCTTAGACAGTTGTCATCAGAACATTTGTCCCCATTGAAAGATTATCCCTCACTTCTTACTCTCATGACAACTCTTGCATTTAGGACTTCCCCCTCACTGCCAATGACAGAAATCAGAAGACTGAGTACTGCGACAAGAAAGGAGGTTCTTACAATGGTCACTTTTTAGGTATTTATGTAAAACCTTTATCCCAAAAAGGAAAAAAAAAAAAAAAACTGTTGCTGTAACAGGTGTTAGCTAGAATTTGGGTTCAATTTGTTAGTGTATTTAAATGTGCTAGTACATCTAACATTCCCCTTTTTCCCAGACTGGCAATGCTGCTGTCCAAATATGTCCCCTGTGCTCCTTCATCTCCTAGATTGTAAGCGCCAAGGAGCAGGGCCCTCCTAACCCTCTTGTATTGAACTGTATTGCTGCTGTATTGTCTCCCGTTATATTGTAAAGTGCTGAGCACACTGTTGGTGGTATATAAATCCTGTATAAATAATAATAATCCACAGTGATCACACTATAATACAGGAAGTGTTTGTTACTGGCCAGATCACCTTTTGAAATCAGAAGGGAAAAAAGCATAAAACAAGTAAACTAATACAGCCACCACATCGAATGATTGGTAAGCTGCAATAGGCTACATTTTTTGAGGGGTTGAATACTGCTTGAAACCTTGCTTCTGTGTAGAAGCTTCCCATAATAAAGACCAGTCACTGCTGCTGGTGCCTTGCACAGGATGTCTGGTCTGTCTCCATCCTCTCCTGTAGTTTTCTACGGGAGCCTGTTAGTGGGTGTTCCTGTTGGTTTCCTTCCACAGCTTTGCTCTCTGCACAGACTATGTACAGTCAAGTGATGAGTTCACTGCTACTTTTACAAGGTAATATCTGTGTTTGCAAACACATTTCATGCACACAAATTGGATTCGTAAATCATTTATGGCTATTGAGGAATATATGTAAAGGAAATTTTTGTACTTGAAGTTCAGTTTTAATGTATGCAGAGCAACATTATATAAGGAATACATCAAAATGTTACCAAAATTCTACTGTGGAAATCAGGAAAACCTTGAGGTGAAAAGGAAGTTGAGCAATGACAATCACTGCACCAACTGTCAAGCAAAAATATATCAGTCACTAGATATTAACACTGATGTAAAGGATCAGGGTTTTCTTTTTAAATTAAAATAAACATGATTTACTTACCTGGCCCCTTAACTCCTCTTCTGAGGTCCCCTGCTGGCACTCGTGGCTCCTCCTCTTGGAGCACCCCCATAGGAAGCTGCTTCCTATGGAGGAGCACCTGCGGGCTTGCTCCCGAGCTGGGCGGTGTGCGTGCATTGACACACACAGTGCAGCTCGGCCCCGTCCCTCCTCATAGGATTTTAATTAACAGCGGGAGCCAATTGCTCCGCTGCCTCAGAAAAGCCTGTGGGAGCGGAGAGAGAGCCACAACAAATGGGCACAGCTCTGGATCGAGTGAGGACACAGGTAAGTATTTAGGGGGTGTGAAGGCAATCCTACTGGGACATTTTTTTATCTGAATGCAGAGAATGCATTCAAGTAAAAAATGTTTAGCTTTTAGAATCACTTTAAGTTATCCTTTCCTTTTTCTACATCACTCAGGTAAAATGAAGTTACAAATCTTTTTGACAAAAGCATAAATAAAAGCAGATAAAACACATTGTCCCAGAGCAGATCACAATTGTTTAGACTAGCTTTGTATGCGATCAGCTAACATTGGAAAATGATGCAAACACCTTGCCTTTCAGAATGACTCTAAAAGCCATTATCAAGCAGGAAAGCAGCTTGACAGCCTCGGCACACACATTAACGGTCGCTGGAACATAGTCATAAGTGTTATCTGCAAAAGAAAATATACAGTAATTGAACATATACTTTTGACATTAAGGGTTTGTGTCCTGCGCACAGCTTGAATGTTTGGTGAAAAGCAAGTTGACAGACACAAAGCTTTAGCACACAATAGGGCTTTGAAGGCCTGAATTTCAGGGCTTAATCTTAGGTTCTATACAAATAAAACACAAAAAAAACCCAAAAAAACTACAACGGCTACATGTACAATTAATGTATGAAGCCGAGCTATGCTACAATTCAATCATAGGGCCTTGGCCTTCTAATCATTGCTTTAAACGGAAGGGGAAAAAATACACACACACACACAAAGCCAGGCTGTGAAGTAGACTATAAAAGACTAAAAATATGATATAGCTGAAAGATTTATATGGTAAGCTGAGAAAATTAAAAAATGGTACAGCCACAGCAGTAGAAAAGTACTGGCTCATTTCTTTTCTTTTTTGTGTCAATTAGCTTTTCCCCTCCCACTGCATTTATTTATTTTTTTTAACATCACAGCAAGGTAAATAACAAAATGGACTACATTACAAACAAGAGAAAGTGTATATAATAGATAAAAATGACTGATGAAATTCCAGACCCACTGATGTCTATAAAATCAGACTTTTTATGCTTTCCACTGGACATGAAGTATCATTTTCTAGGTTCTAGTGACACCTGCTGGTCAAAAAATCAGCTGCAGTCTAAAGAAAAGACTTCATGCATACTCACGCTTTTTCACTCTTGATTCTTTTTTTGTTGTTTTGTTTAACTTATATTTAGCTATCTGTAGGCTGTTTTTAAAATAAACTTTTTTAAAAAAAAAAATCTACTTGATGCCATTCCTTCACAAACAACGTAGGGTGGAATATTTTAAAGTCCCTTGGCTAAATGAACATTTAAACACTGCCAAGAAGTTCTACAAAAGAGCATTTGAAATAAAGAAAAGTTGTCTAACCCTCATTGGCTGAGAATTTAACCAAAAGGACACGGCTTGATCCCAGAGCGACATAAGTGAATCCAAGCAGAAAGGTGTGCAGTGTTGATCGAGAGAAGAACGATGGGCTCAGGCAGGGCTTGTACCTCATTGTTTCAGGTTCTGTGCAGCATGCCCTGCTCACTGAAATAAATAGAATTTAAAAAACAATTGACAAGCTTTTCAAAATTGATTTACACTGCAAAAAACAAATAGGACAAACTAATGAGGAAAAATTCCATGGCCACCCAGGGCTACACACTACCCACCTATATCAACATATTTCTGTAGTGAGTATGGCCAGGTGTTTGCAATCAGCTACAGATGCTCAGCCTGTACATATCAATGGCAGGTTGTGCACATATAATTATTGAACACGGAGTAATTACATGTGGTTAACCACTTACCGACTGGCCAATAGTAACTTTACTACTGGCCAGTGGCTCGTCTAGGCACTGTGATGTACCCTTACATTGCAAAGAACTTCCTGGTTTACAGGCACAAGTTCGCCCCCTGCTGTCCTTCGCTGTGGTGGGACACAGCAAGAGTTTGTCAGCAGCCTACAGCCAAGGATTTTGCCTGTAAACCTGTGGTCAACCACAGCTCAGACATTTGTGTGTTAGTAAACACAGCACACAAAGTCTAGCTGTTTTTTTCTCCATAGTCTCAGTTACCATTCAAAACTGAGATCGAGGGGAGACCCAGTCAGATCTGTGAGTAAAAGCAGCACCCATACACTTGTTAGCCAGTGTCATTAGTGCAATGTAAAGTATAATCACTGTATTAGTGTCACTAGCAACATCAGATAGCTTCAGAGTCAGTTAGCGCCAGTCCCTAATTGCTCGCCACACTATAAGTTGCTGATCACCACCATTACTAGTATAGTGTCTTTCTGGATCAGTATTCTGGTCACGGTAAGAACTTTACTAGTGTCCCCAATAGTATAGTGTCTGCCAAAAAGCAGTGTTGCCACTAACAGTGTTGTAGTAACTGCCAGCACTTGTGCAACCTGCCTCCGTCCTCCCCTAGCAAGTGCAGTATCAGTATAATTTTTCTAATCACTGCCATCTCTGATACATTGTCTGGAAAACTGCAGTGTTAGCAAGATCGGGCCTGATCTCTGCTAGCACTATCAGTTAATATTATTTCTAGTGCATAAGCAGTCCCTGATCATTAGCCAGGAGCTCTTTTGCCCATAGTCGCCAGTAGGTACCTATGAAGTTAGTTTTAAAAATAAAGTACACTAGTGAGGAGGCCAACAGGATTTTGAGCATGACAGATGAGAGCAAAGGGGAGGCCTCACTGTCAGAATCAGGCTCAGAAATATGAGCCTGTAGAAAGCTGCGGCACCGACAGCAAGCTTGGAGTATGGTGAAGAGGTCCCTGCTAAAATCAGGTGTACCCGACCCCATGTTGCCGAAGTGCTAGAAACAATAATTATGCTCAGATGCAGCACGGCGCAAGTACTAGAGCTACACTACTTTTTGTGATCTGGCAAGCACTAGCATCGTAGTACATCCTGACCTTTTAGACACCACCTCTGTATTTCATGGTGAAGTGGCGAGCACCAGCAGTGCAGCACAATCTGGTGAAGTGGCTAGCAGTAGTAGTGTAATGCAACCACAACCTCCAAAAATTCTAGCACATACCCGAAGAGCCCATAGTAGCCTTTCAGAAGTGCTTGCAAACCCTAATTGGCTGCCCCTAGATTTAGCAGCACTCGTTATGCCCCCATTCACAGCCCAGCCTGGGACTCAGGTAAAAACAGCCAACTTAATAACGCCTCTTGACTTTGTTTCACCAAAGACCTCTATAATTTGATTGTGGACCAAAGTAATGTTTATGCCCAACAGTACATCGCCTCCAGTCCATTTGAGTGGAAACCTATCACAGTTTCCGTATTTAAAGCTTTTCTGGACCTAAACCTTAACATGGGCATTACAAAAAATAATTAATTGCAATCATATTTGTCCACAGACCCGATTCATCATATGCCCATGTTCTCGGTTGTAATGGCCAGGAAAAGATGAGATAATAATGCTTTTTTTATACATTTCAGTGACAATAACCTATGTCATCCCCGGGGTGACCCTGACTATGGTCGGCTCCACAAACTTTGGCCCCTTACAAATGACCTATCCCAGAAACTGGTAGATGTGTATATACCCCAACAAAACATCTGCATATAGGAGTCCCTTGTACATTTTACTGACAAGCTTGCAATCAAGCAATATCTCCTTAGCAAGCGTGCCAGATAGGAGGTCAAAATGTTTAAACTCTGTGAGAGGTCAAAAGGCTATATATGCTGCTTTAGCATTTATGATGGAAAAGACAGTGAGGTGGAGCCTCTCGGGTGCTCATACTACATGGGGAGCAGCAGTAAGATAATATGGGACTTGTTGTCACCCTTGTTCAATATGGGGTACCATTTGTAAGTGAACAACTTTTATGCAAGCGTGCCACTTTTTAGAAATTTGTTTCTTAAAACAAAATTGGCTGCTGTGGCACCATGCAACCTATTTGCAGGAGCTTCACCAAACTGCACGTTAACACCCCAATTAGAAAAAGGGGGAGAAAGCCTGCTAGTGGAATGAAGAACTACTAGCAGTAAAATGGAAGGACAAATGTGATGTATGCATCCTGTTTTCATTCACCCAGACACGAGGTTCCAAATTCACACAGTGGCTGGTGTCATTGAAAAGCCGCTTTGTCTCAAGAACTAAAATCTTAATATGGGAGATGTAGACTTCAACAACAAAATGATGAAGCCGTATTTAGCCTCCCACAGAGCTAGCCACTGGCATAAAAAAAGTGTCTATATATTTAATTTCAATTAGCTCTATACAATGTGTTTGTTATTTACAAACCTACTGGAAGAACTGGATCCCTCCTAAAATTTCAGGAAGCGGTCATCTCAGCCCTTTTGTACACAGAAGGTGCTTGTGGCCCAAAGCCCAAATCCAGGCACAGTTAGCTGGCTGCATGAGAGACATTTTCCAAATGTCTTCCAACCTACTCTAATAGAAATGTCACCCCAAAAAAAAGATGTGTCTGTGGTAAACAGGGAACAAGGTGCAACACTCCTTTTTTGTCCCTCCTGTCCCTTTACATTTTTTTAATAATTTTTTATTCCTATCACAAGGAATGAAAACATCTCTTGTGGTGGAAATAAGCAGGTCTTCTTCATGGGGAGATGCGGTCAAATAAGACCCAACAGCTCTCCTCTACAATGTAAAGCATTGGATCATAAAAAAAAAAAATTGCCTTGTTTGTGATTCAACGACGCCGCTGCGGTCCTCCAAGGGCATAGAGATGAGCAGACGCCATCTTTACTTTACAAATCTCTATGCCCAGCTGCCAAGATTTTTGGAATGGGTTCCAGCTTACCGGGCGGTGGGGCCATTTTTTGGACCTGTATTGCTGCCCATTTTTATTGGACAAAGGCTAATAGGGTATTTTTCGATCGAAACATTTCAGCCGCTGGAATTTTGGTGCATCCCTATTCTAGAGTACAGCATGGCATAGTATAGGGGTCCATGCAGTTCTGTAGAAGAAGGGTCTCTCTAAAAGTGTTAGGTAGTCAGGAAACTGTTTTTAAAAACCCTAAAATCAAAAGCTAGAAAAAGTTATTGTTCTGAAAGTTAATTTACAAAAAAGTTAAGAAAAAAAAAGAAAAAAGATGTTTTATTGAGTTAATGTTACATTGTTTACTGTGTGTTATTGTTAACTGTTTGTTTGCTTTGCAGCTTCAGCACTGATATGTGTATTCTGACAGCGAAGAGTACTACTCTCACAATACATACATCAATGCCTGAAGTGCTGCAGATTTCTCCATACACAGTTTAACCACCTCCTGCCCCGCCATATAGTAATATGTTGGACGCAAGGTGGGTTTCTCTCGTTCTGTGGAGGACGTCATATGATGTCCTTGGCACAGAGTAGCAAATCAGGGGCTCTCCAGCCAGCAGTGGCACCAGCAGAGGAAGTATAGGCAGATATGCACCAACTCCACACGGGTCTTCAGAGGGCTGTGTGTCCTCCCACAGCTTCAAGACCACACAGGCAGTGTAGAACCACAAGTCCCAGCAGTGCACAAAGTAAAGCACAGTTCAATGCATCTCGTAGGGAGGCCACCAGCCATGAGCTACTCTATTCATCCTGACTCAACCTCTGCCCCATTCTCACCCAATAGGGACATTATATGGTCCTTTTAATTTGACCAAGCCTCAAGCCCCCCGAGCCAACACGTCCTGGCTTTTCAAATGGCCAAAGGACACCATGCTGTCTGTGCTCCCTGCTGAGATCAACTTCTCCCACCCCCTGTGGGGCACAGGAACTCCCAAGATTTAACTAAGCAGACAAGCTGACTGTTTGACACACTTGTTGATTTCAACAAACACAGAAATAAAATAATATTTCGGCTCACTGCTCCACAATGAAATTCAGCAAATCTTAATAAAAAAAAAATAAAAAACTGGTGCAACATTTTCTGTTTCTACCTGAGGACCTGGCTGTTAAAGGGAGATTATAGTTTTGGAAAATTAACGGGCAGCCATATCGAATTTAAAAGGGGGGATTTTGTAGGTTCTGCCAAATTAATGGGCAGGCATATGGATTTAAAAGCAAGTCTGGGAGGTCAGTATGGGCCTTACGTCATTGTGGTGGACATGACACCCCACCACTAGTACCTGGCCTTTCATCTGGGAGTGATGCACTGTGTGCTGGTCACTGCTCCAGGATTTACAGCGCTGCCTGCTCCTCCTCAGATTGCCTGAATCTCTTTTTTGGGAATCTCTCCTCCTCAAAATCAATTACTGGCCCACTGCTTTCAACTGGCTCATGCTCAGAATCTGACAGTTCCGTGCAGACATGGTGTTTGGATGTTTATTGCTGCACTAATAATATTTTGACAGATGTTCATGCTGCACTGCAGACACTGACATATGTTGATGGTGCCCTGGAGATTTTTTATGACAGATTTTGGTGCAGTGACAGATGTTGATGGTGCACTGTGACACTGACAGATGTTGATGGCCCACTACAGACACCGACAGATGGTCATGTTGCAATGGGACACTGACAGATGTTGATGGTCCACTGGGATACTGACGGATGTTGATTGTGTACTAGAACAATATAAACAGATGTTTATGATCCACTGGGACACTACGGACACCAACAGATATTGACGGGCCACTACAGACACCGACAGATGTTGACAGTCCACTACAGACACCGACAGATGTTGACAGTCCACTACAGACACCGACAGATGTTGACAAGACACTGGTACACTGTGACAGATGTTGATGGACACTGGCTGGGTAAACAGTGTGCAAAAGCTCCTCCTTCGCCTCATGCTGGCTCTCTGCTATGGGAAACAGAGCCCATCAAGTAAACACTATTCTCTGTTTACATTACATGATGGCAGTGATTGGAGAGAGCGATCATGTGATCAGATGGGCCAATCACAGAGCCCATCTCCAGATCAGATATGTGCAGTGTCCAAGGGACACCCATCTCAGCTCATCTCTCAGCCAACATGGCTCACAGTACTGGAACACCTGGCAGTGGTTGACTGTTTGAACACCGGCCTACGGACTGCACACAGTAAGTACCAACGACCCTATGCTGTCCTCTAGGTGATATCAGCTATGCAGTAACATGCGCAGGCTGGACTGGGACACACATTAGAGGTTGCTGTATAGGTACTCCGGCATATCAGTTGCATACAGTCCCCGCTTGCCTTATTATGTATGTACAGCCATTGCACAGGATAGCATTTACAGTCACTAATACTGATATTACAGACTGTCCCCACCATTGCTGCCACATTATATAGGACGTGTGACCACTTGATGCTATTAGTCTCCTGCACTTGTTTTGGTATATGCCGTATAGATGCTTGCACAGAACCTCTAATCACTGCAGCCATCCATCTATGACCTCCATCATTGCTGCCACTGCACAGGACAGTGATTATCTTATCCTATTAGGCTCCTGGACTTATTTCTGGCATATGTTGCATACATGCTTGCACAGAACCTCTAACTACTGAAGCCCAGCCATCCATCCATGTCCTTTGGGTCACCATACATCCACTCCGTCATACCAGTATTCCTACATGAACTTCATTCAGTGACCCCCTGCACTGGAATGGACTGCCTCTACAGCCACATTGGGACTCTAGACCTTCATGTTCACTTAGGCTGACACTACTACTGATTTTAATTTAACTGCATACTTCATAGTCTACTGTGACTACTGTGCTGTAGGCCTATGTTGTAGCTTCCCCTTTTAGGTCATGGTCAATGGGCCATTTGAGGTAGATGCCGGTCTTTTGTAGTTGGACATGGATTAGGTGGGCCTTTTGGCAATTGGTTTATGTGTATGGTGGCGACAACTGAGATCTTTACCTAGTGACATCTCCTATTCACTTGTAATATACGGGGGTGCTTGGACTGGTCACAGTGCTATTGGGCCGGATCTGTGTGGTGCTAAGAAGAGGTATACCATCTTTCTTTGGAGGGACTAGTTCTGGGAGGAGGGTGCAGGTGTGGTGGGGTTCTGGGCTGGGGTAGGTTTCTGAGGGGGGCCTGGGGGGATGGTGGAATGGAGGCTGGTCACTTATCTGTGATGCATTTTAATTTTTTACTCTATGTGATTAATAAACTTTTATATGAGGAAGTAGCCGTATGGGTGTGCATGCCTGTTTATTTTTCTTAGTTATACATTTATGCTTTTGGGCAACACCCCACCAGAAAGCGTTTGTAGTACCTTATCACTTTTTGTACCATAGTGGTGGGCTCCCCATGCCACAATTTTGGGGCGGTTTCCTTAGCTCCCCCTGGGGAAGGGGGGGGGGGCTTGTGAGTGTGTTGGGGGTTTTGTGGGGCTCATTTTGGGAGAGGGGTGCAGGTGTGGTGGAATTCTGCGCTGGGGTAGGTTTTTGAGGCTTGTGCGAGAAATATCTCTTTATAGTGACAACTTTGTGTAAAAACAAAAAAAAACCAAAAAAACTTTTTTTGTAATTTTCCAAAAAAACGCGTGGCAAGAATTAAAATCTTCCATGGACTCAACATACGTCTAAGCAAATACCTTGAGGTGACTTTGGAAAATAGGATCATTTGGGGGATGTTTGTATTGTCCTGGAATTTTAGCACCTCAAGAATAAAAAAAAAAATTACTAAATTGTACCTTATTAGTCCCAGAATCTTCAGAGTTCACCACTGACATGGCACAGCTATTTGGAAGATACTGGCCTGATGTACGACAACTTCAACCTGTATTGTTGAAAGAGGCAACTGAAACAATATTCTATATAGAAACATTCTCCCACAAAAAAGATAAATAAAAAAACACCACCAATTAATTACTGATTATATACAGAATTATACAAAATGCAAAAGGTGTATACAGATTTCCTTACTAGGCATAAACCTAGAACACTAGATTTGAAAGCATGTTCATACCTACTAGAACACCACGGATACAATAAAACATATTTTTCTTACACATGCAAAGAGCATTAGCCGTTATCTCCCACCTTCCAGTACCCCACTCCTATAGGGCACAGAATTAAAGAAAAACCCCCTATATACTTTTTTTCCCCCTGTCTTTAACCAGGTCCAATGATGTTGCAGAAGAACTCTTCTATGTCCTCTCCTACCTAGAAAGTGGTTCCCAAATGCTTCAGACAGCGGTTTTGTCATGTAATGACATGGCACCATGCTCTGCAACATTTGCCTGTGAGTTTAGGGTGGGAGCAGAGTCAGACATCCAGGGCCCACAGGGGGGTTGAATGATGGTGGGGAAGTCATTCAACCCAGAAGAGGAGTGGCATTGCATTTTTGGATCTGTGAGTCTGTTGGGGACAGAGCCAGAGGATCAGGTGATTACAATTTTTTAAATATCCAGCCACTGACCGGAGCCATATTTTTTTTTTTTTTTTTTTTTTTTTTTTTTTTAGATGAATACGTATCTAAACCCCAAAACAAAAATGTTATACAATGCAGATTGCCAATCCTTAGGGCTCTGGCAGTGAAAGCGATAAAGGATAAGCCGCCGGACACTCCCTTTCCTGAGGAGCAGCCAATCGGTGCTCATTACACTGCAAGGTCTCTCCCCTCCCTGCTAGTCCCCGGGTGCGGGGTACTGGAGACAGGCAGGGAGGGAAGGAGAAGACATACAGCGCAATGTTAAAATTATTAAACATTTAAGTTGCCATAAAGTCCCTTTTGTTTTTAAAAGCCCCAGACATTCCTAATATCACCTCCGATTTAAATACAGTTTTGGTTAAAATGTATTTTTCTTTTTTTATCTGAACGAGTAGATTGGGACACCGATTTAGTCCCTGGACAAGTAGTTTTTTCAAAAATTTCCACACCCCTGCACTATTAATTTGGCTCTATACCAATAGTGCGCAGTATCAGCTACTGTAATATTTATGTAGGCATGGGGTGTTGTCACGTATTTGAACACTGGTATGTATAATTCTTATCTGGGCAGTAACACTTCTTTTTTTAGGGTATCCCTACTCTGGATGTCGGTGTAACTGAGATGCCTTTGGACAGCAGCATTGTCAATCTGGGGAGACGGTAGTGTAAGATGCACCAGTCGTACTTTATGACCAAATTAAAGCTGCATTCCAGCTAACACTTTTTATGTTTAATCTCTTTTTATTAAGATTTCCTTTTAACAAAGTTTATTTATTACAGGTACTTATATAGTGGCGTCAATTTACACAACGCTTTATATACATATTGTACATTCACATCAGTCCCTAACCCTCAAGGGGCATACAATCTAAGGTCCCTAACTTACATTCATACATACACATTCTAGGGCCAAATACAGACAGGATCCAATTAACCTACAAGCATGTCTTTGGATTGTGGGAGGAAACTGGAGTACCTGGAGGAAACCACAGGGAGAACATGCAAACTCCAGGCATGGTTGGGATGCAAACCAGTGACCCTAGTACTGCCAGGTGGAAGTGCTAGCCAAAGTTACAAGAAAAAGACCAGCTAATGCTTTTTAAGCAGTTACAGAAATCATTGCTTCCTTTTAGGATAAAGTTTTTATCTATATAAATAAAGTTAACCATTTTAGACACCCATGTCAGTGTTAAATGGTTTGTCTCAACCTTCTAGCTGTCACTTTTACTGGACAGCTTGGTCTGTAAAAGCAAGGGGAGAAAAAAAAAAAAAAAAAAAAAAAAAAAGACCTGCTGTCTGGAATACCAGGTAAAAATTAAAAAAAAAAAAAAAAATGAAAAAAAAGGGAACTAATACAGCCACCAAATCTAAGAAACGGTAAACTGCAATAGAATTCATTTTTGTGTTTGAGTTGAATATCACTTTAGATCAAAAACAGAAGGGGGCTTTAAATTTAATGATTAACAGATCAAGAACAGGGCTCAGAAATGTTACTGGGGAAGTGACATATGGTTTAGATTAGAAGCCTTAGCACACGTCACACACAAGTGTAAACCTGTGACAAGCAGATATGTTTTTTGAATGTTATATATCTTTACTCTCAGGCCTGGAAGGAAATAGGCTGCCTTGTCAAAGATCAAAAAATCAGTGTCATTTAGATATGGCAGCTACTATTACTCGCCTCCTTCTGAATATGCTAGTTAGCTGCCTAGATGGCAAGATTCATGGGATGTTAGGTGTCCTCCCCACAGCTTTGCAGGAACACGCACTCTGCCGCATTCAAAATTCGAGCATGCTCATTGGGCTTGCCGCTTCTATGGCAGCAGCAGCTGAGCTCAACGTTGGTAAGGGAGAGTGCTATGCTCACTTCAGTAATCTCATTACAGAATCAGTGAAAAAAAAAGAAAAGAAAATTTTTTTTTTTTAGAAATTATATAATAATATACATACATACATACATACATACATACATACACACACACTCACAAACATGATCACCCGGCCACTTTTTCAGGTACACCTGTTCAATTGCTTGCCAACACAAATTGCTAATCAGCCAATCACATCGCAGCAACTCAATGCATTTAGGCATCAAGACAGGATGAAGACGACTTTGAAAGTTCACCGAGCATCAGAATGGGGAAGAAAGGGGATTTAAGTGACTTTGATTGTGGCATGGTTGTTGGGCTGAGTATTTCAAAAGCTAATGATCTACTGGGATTTTGATGCACAACCATCTCGAGGGTTTATAGAGAATGGTCCGAAACAGAGAAAATATTTAGAGAGCAGCAGTTGTGTGGACGAAAATGTTTTGTTGATGTCAGAGGAGAATGAGCAGACTGGTTGCTATGACATTCAGATGGTAGGGTCAGAATTTGGCATACACATGAAAGAATGGATCCACTCTGCCTTGTATCAACGGTTCAGGTTGGTGGTGGTGTAGCAATACAAAACTTCAGTTTGAGTAACCAGCAAAGTATTGTCTGAAAAAGTTTGTCTAATTGGTGTATCAACATTCAGATTTAAAAGCTGCTTTTAACTGTTACTGACTAGTAAATGTGATCAGTTTATCAAATACTCTCTGTCCATATGCTCCAACTGATAACTGTGGATCCTACAAATCTATATATCTATTTAACCATAAACAACGATTTAAACCAATATATTTTAGAAAATTAAAGCGGAACTTAACCCTCTTCTCCTTTTCATCCAAGAAGGCTGCCTACATAGCCTTTGTTTGACTACAACTGCCATGATGCTGTACATGTGGTCAGTTATGACACCAGACATTTCCCGATTTGACAGTTTGGTAGAGAACACAGGCAACTATGACAGTTAGCATTCCAGAAACTGTTTTTTGAAACCGTCAAATCGATGGGTTTATTTCTGATTTAAAGAGAAGTTTGCTGTACGGGAGGTGCAGGAGCCAAGAGTGTTTCAATTGCAGCTACTGAAAGGCCTTTACACCCTGGTCACACTGATCCCAACCTTGAAATCATACAGCTTACAGTGAAGTAACGCGATTTCAAAGTCGGATGACATGCCGATTTGAGGTGCGATTTGCAAGACACCTGACACAGATGTCTATGCAGATCGCACCAAAAGTAGTGCATGTACTACTTTAGAAATTGGTGCAACTCCAACCAAGTGGGAACAGCAGTGATATTACCGCTGTAATTGTGGACAATAGGGTGCAACATGCCATGCAATTTGCAAGTTGTATGGCATGCAAGTCGCCCACAGTGCGACCAGGGACTTAATGCTCATTCTCAAATGTGGCAGCCCATGCTGCCCTTTGAAAAGTTATCCACAGTGGATTACTTTTTTTGGAGAGTGTTTGACAGGCAGTGTGGAGATGACATGTCACTTCTTCACCGCACATTTTCACCCTAAAAAAAGCTGAACCACTGTACTGCAATCGTGTACATTGCATAGTAGTACATTGCACTCAGTTGGAGGGTAGTCACAGCATGGCCCCTATAGTATTATATATACTGTACTAGTATAGTATTACATGGGTCGTGTTTGGTGGCTGTTGTGCCCACTGAATGCAATAAGAGGTGTAATTTTTGCTGCGATGATTGAGATTATCTGATCAATGTGATGAAAATGATTGATCAATTGATCGGAAACAAAAACTGATTATTTATTGAAGCGCTAATGGCTTCAATAGAAAGATCAACAACTTCTGGAATCACATTGAAGTCACATATAGAAGGAGAGTTTACTAACACTGGAGCAGACAGAACCTGGAGCAGCTGTGCACAGATACCAATCAGCTTCTATCTTCAGCTTGTTCAGTTAAAGTGTTATTAAGCCCAAAAGCAAACATCATACAGCAGCTTAACAATTCTTAGGGTTCATGTACACTGCAGCTGATAAACTCACGTTTAGGAGCGGTTCAGAGGGTTTTTCAGCAGCCCCTGAACTCACCCTAATGTTTTCCTATGTGTCCATGTACACATCTTCATTTACTGTCGTTTACAGGCAGTTGAGTTTATAGTCATTTTTTTTAACACAACAAACTGGCGTTCAGACGTCCATTTTATCAGCGTTTCAAACGCAGAACACTTGTAAAAGCGGTTAAACGTGGAAAATTGCATTTATAAGCATTTGCTTTCGAAATTTTTTTTTAACTATTCCAGTTCCCAATGCTGTCCAGAGCCTTTTTTCATCATGAAAAATGCATGCAAAAAGTTTTCAAGGTGCTCAGATGGACACAACACTGAACACAGGATGTTCCTACCAAGCTTGTCACACATTGTAATGACCAATTCAGACCTCAGACCTCTCCCACCCTTGGAAACAAAAGATATGTTAATGCCCATTCACACCTCAAATTCCTCATGAAGACCCCCTGCCAGGTGAGCTTAATGACTCACTCCACCAGATACCTTCCCACCCTTGAAAACAAAAGAAATGTTAATGAGCAACTCACACCTAAGCTAAGCTCAACACATACTGCGGTCTCTGCTTCTACTCTCGGTATTTCTCTGAAAGTCTGAAATAGTTATTAATTTACCACTTTTCAGTGCATTCTGGGAGTTTGGAAGGTTCTCCTGTGCTTATCTTTAAAGAATGCTTCTAAACGCAAACGCGCATTAACGCATTATGCAAACGCGGCTAAACAGACGTTTTTAAACCTACGTTTTGCAGCAGTCAGTTTCAATTGTTGAGAAACGTCTTGTGTACATGGGGCCTTAGATGTGACGGCTGCATTCATTTTCTTCTTTCAGATTTCAAACAAAGCCCAAAAAAAAAAAAACTAATGCAGGCACCACATTTAATGATTGGTAAGCTGAAATACATTATATTTTTTGATTTTGGCTTCCCATTGCTCAAAGGATAAAATTCAAAAAAAATTAACAATAACGTATAAAGCCATTTATAACTCTGCCCCAAATTACATCATCGATCTTGTCTCCAAATATCACCCAAACCGTACTCTCCGCTCCTTGAAAGACCTCCTACTCTCTAGCTCCCTTGTCTCCTCCTCCCATGCTCATCTCCAGGACTTCCCCAGAGCTTCCCCCAACCTCTGGAACTCTCTACCCCAATTTATCAGACTATCACCTACTCTGCTCACTTTTAGGCAATCTCTGAAAACCTATCTCTTCAGGGAAGCCTATCCTGCCCTCAGCTAATAATGGAATCTTCTACTCTTCCAACCAGTCCATCCCCCACAGTTACTACCTTTTGTACCATTAGCCCCTCCTTCCTAGATTGTAAGCTCCAAGGAGCAGGGCCCTCCTATCCCTCTTGTATTGAACTGTATTGTCTCCCGTTATATTGTAAAACGCTGAGCAAACTGTTGGTGCTATATAAA